TACCAAAGCCTAAACAGGACAGTTGGCACAACTGGAGTGCTGTACTGGGTGGATACAGACATAAATGTTACAGAAAGATATCTTATATTCTGTGCAGACCAGTATCTTAAATGCCAAAACTCTCCTATGAAATGGGATTGCCCATGTAGCTTTTTACAAGCATTTCTGTGACTACCTGTGTAATGTATTACATTATCCACCTGTATTTCATAATCAGATTATTATACTATAATCTTTTTAACTAAGCTTTTTTGGTTTCTCTTCTGCTGTTGATCTGAAACTCAGCCAGTGAAGGAACTGGATAAGTAACTCATTCTGCATTGGATTTTATGAAAGGGGTATAGGATGTGCAGAAAATCGCAAAGCTGGAGTGTATATAAGAACATTGCGTTAAGTACTGTCCAAGTGTGACATTGGATATTTGCAAAAGTTGCTGACAGATAAACCAGCAAGTTCAGACTTGTGGAAAATTAAGTTCAAAACATGATATAAAATAGCTTCTCTATGCCATGCTCTGTAAATAAACATACAGACATTCAAAAAGGAAAACATGGAAAATACTTCTCTAGTAATATTATTCAAATAAAGAGAATACTGGCTTTTACCGGAAACAGTCAATAAACATAGGAAGAAAAAGAAAAAGTATAAAATATCTTGCTAATATATAAAAAATTCATTATAAGACTCTATTAAAAACACAAAAAATCTCTTCCTGAATTGTGATCAGTGAGGCTGATATTGAAGTGAGAGTTTTTTGTTTTGTTTTGTTTTTTAAGTTTAGAGATAACCGCTGGCAAACTTTCAGAAAAAAAAAATAAAAAAGACAAGTTTTTCAAGCTCAGGCAAAAAGTAAAAATGCTACATTCCTATTCTGAAATGTTTAGATGCCTTAAGTCATAGTTAAAAGAGTGTGCTGCCTCTTCAACAGTTGGGCAGACTGTTGCTTTCTCATGCCAAAGAACCAAAGAACTAGCTGTCTGTAGGGAATAATGTCATTTTCATTATCCTTTATGTTGAATATGAATGTGATTAATAGTTAAAAATCTTACTTAAAAAAAAAGGTAGAATTTTATAACAAAACTTTGTGTCAGCATCCGAATCACAGCTAAAGAATTGTGGTCATGGAAAAATGGTTCATTTACATTTGAATGAAAATATGGGCTTATAGAGTGGAGAATGATATTTCTTTCAGGGATTCTATCCATTTATTTTAATTGCCCAAGAAAAAGTTTTGCAAATAGACATCTGACTTTGCAAGAAAATAAATGCAGATGAACAGAGTTTGTGTAATAACGTGGATAGATGTGCATGTATCTCATATATGCAGAGGAAAGTCATTTTAACCCATTTTTAATGGAATCAAGATTTATTTATTTTGAAATGTTATGTTCATATGATATTGTATGACTGACAGATAAGACCATACATACACTTTTGGAGAACGTGACATGAGAGTGACTCTTGTGCAGCTTTCTTCATTCTTCTCTCACGGTTGGTTAAAACCTGGAGGGAATGATCTAGCCTGAGTTATCTGCCAATGACTCTCCAAATCTTGTGTAACAGTCTGGGATTTCTTGGTGTACTTGGAGACACAACTATGACTCTTTCACAAATAATGGCATAGATGCAACTGAAAGTTATTATGCTGGTTGTCTTTCCCCAGTATTCATCCTTTTGTTCCCATCATGTTCCTTTTAAAAATGACATGTTTTACACAGTAACATAGTGGACAACAGGAAATACACTGTTAATTCCTGTAGACTGCTCAGCCAATTCCTGTCTGGAATAAAAGACTATCTTTCTAAAATGCAGGATAGCAACCAACACTTCAGCTGAAGTTTTTCCTGAATTACAGTAAGTGAATGGTATCTGTGAAGTTCATAGAGTGTGTCTAAGATCAATATACAGAGGAACTGCTGCAAGTCCTCTTAAAAGCACTCCGGCTTTCTCGAAGGATTCCTCCAGAAGCTGCCTAACTTCGTCTAAACTTTTATTGGATTTTGTAAAGATAATTGTATTAACTAAGAAAGTTGCAATACTCTTTTTTTTCTTTTTTTTTTCCTGCCTGATTTTCAAGACTAGATAATGGAAATGCCTATTATTCTGTGAACAGTAGAGTAATCACTTAATGCTAACTGCTCAAAAACCTATAAATATCTATCTAGTTAGATTAGATGACATGATACATTGTGTGTCAAATTAAGACTGATTGATTTACCATGCAGTCTCATTGAATTCTCATTGAAATCAGCGAATTTTCATGGTCTATAAATCTCTGGTAACATTGACTGTCTTTGATCATCACTTTTCTTGAAAATTGCAGTTCTATGCTTATGTAACTTTATTGTAAATAGCACTGAAACATACAGGAATAAGCAAACATTTACATTTTAAAATAAACTAAGAGAAGACTAAAGAAATAAATATATGCATTTTTAAAAATCATTATGGAAAAGAAATAAGGAACAAAATACAAAGAAGATCGTAACTGGTTTAGAGAATACAATATATAATTTTATGAAATTTTTTTTTGAGTTATTACTTAAATGTTTCCTTTCTTGCTGGGGTTTATCCAGAAGAAAAAAAGGGTGGCATGTGTGTATATATAAAAATAATAACCTGTTTATGCCCAGAAAAGAAAGTAAAAAAAATCCCAAACTTTGTACTCTCATAATCATCGCACACATTATCACAGTATCAAAGATATTCCCTTTGCATGAGCCCTCATGCATATTCAAATATAGAACTTCATTTGAATTCTTAATACTTTGGAAAGCTTTTCTAAGCCAAGTCCCCACTTGCATATCACTTTGAAAACTCTCTCCCCTTTCAACATATGGTTAAGATCAGAGAAGTATGTTTGTGAAAGTGACATCTTGGCGATCTGCGTATTTTTTGCACTTATGCTTTCATAGTGCATTTGAAAGTTTGTATGTTAGATATATTTTGTAAATTCATGACAAAATAAATTTGTTTTGCGTTTTGAAAATATTGAGTAGGAATTTCAAAAGGAGAGTGATTTTTTTTTAAATTTCCTTTCTGGTTGCTGGATATTTAGAACTGTCAGCAGCACAATGTTGTTTGTTTCAGAACCTTACAAAAATGTTGTCTTCTCACTACTCTTGTGAATGTCATTTTCCCTGGTTTGTAACTGGACATCAAAAGAACAGGCAGTACAAACGTTGCAAAGCATTTAGGTGCTTAACTGCTATTTGGATACTTGCTTTTAGAAGGAAACTGAGCAGTGTTATATGCCAAGTATATATATACCAAGTATCCTTGCGGATTGGTACCTAAATATTTTTGCATAGGTCATACAGAAGACAAAAAATATAAAGAGATTCTGAGAGTCCTGTACAAAAATAATTGCAATTGTTACCTTTCTTCTCTTTCTTTCTTTCTTGATTACATATCATTGTTCGACTCACAGTGACAAAGATGGGAAACTGTTACTCTGCACGAATTTTTCTTCTGTTACGAGTTATTTGTGTTTCTCAACTGCCATCAAAACAATGAAGAAAGTGATAGAAATTCTGGTGGATTGTATGTAAATGATCACCAAATTTTCTTTTATTTGTCACCATACACTTTAAAGTCTGTGGCAGGACTTCTGTCAACTTCAATCTGATGAAGAATGGCTCTTGTTACTGCAGAATACACTTAAAGATGGTTTCTCTTTTTCTGATGGCTTCAGAATTTAAGCCGCTGAACATGTTCAAGGGAATTTATGTCTTCCCAGCTGTGAGGGTTTGCCTTTGATGATTTGCCTGCATGATTGAAGCCAAATGAATAACAATTAAGTGATATTGTAAGTGGAGTGATCTAGGAATCAAGCACAATAATTCTTTCATTAATATTTGCATTGCAAAGCCTAAAAAGATATCTGGTGTGCTTTTGATTTTATTTGAAAGTAGCTACTGTCCTTAATATTTGGAGTAAGTGTTGACTTATGAATCAGAACAAAATGCATCATGTTGGTTCATGTTTTGCTGATGGCAGCAAAAAAATCATTTTGGCAAAAATGCCTAAACAGATGTGTTTCAGAAATAGCAGACATGCTCATCGACACATCCTCTGTTTTTAAACACAGTCACTCTGTTTGTTTATTTATTCTTTTAAGCATTAGCACAGTATAGCAACATTTTAATGAACAGTTTTAGATTTAGATTTTAGATAGCTGTGAATGAGGATGGGTTTCTCTCTCTGTTTCCTTTGTAAAAAGTAAGTATAATGAGCTCTGTAATTTTTTTTTTCCAAAGGCCTTTTATTTTTGCATATCAAGGAAAGCTATTTCAATAGATCTGGTGATGTTAGAAAATTTTGTAGATCTCCAATATGAATGCTAAGAATGTATTCAGCACAAGACTAAATGTTATAGAACAAGCTATCATGGAAAAGATATTCCCATCGTCGTTTTTGAAACACAAGACCTATTGAAAATTATCCTACTTAAGATTAGGTAACCTACCTTAGGTACCTATTAGGTAAAGAATTTAATTGTGAAAATTTCTGTCATCTGGTATTTAGGAAATTGCCAATGAAGAACTTTGATTTTTCAGTATAATGTTGCTGCTGCATTTATTGTGTCAGACTGCCTTTGACAACTGTTAAACTCAATTTGCTTGACGAAAACATATTTAGTTGAAATGGAGGGAAAAATCATGAATTTTTTTGCATCTCATTCATTGTAAAATGAATGGAACAGTGCTAATCAAAATAATAAAAAGTAGATTATAAAAATACCTGCTAAAAGTAATGCAATAATTTTGAAATAATTGAAAAATAAAGCAATTGCTTACTAACACCCTAGCTTTGTGATAGTGTTCCAATTCTAATATATTAATAAGCCTCAAATAATTTATTTTAAATAATATCTTTTAGATAAAGAAATATCTTGATATCTTTAGAAAAAGGAAACAATCTTTACTTCTCAGTAAGAAAATATACATTGCTAAGCAGTGATTTTAATGACATTCTACTCTTTTTTTTTTTTTTAACAGCTGAGGATGCTTGTGGAGGAACTATGAGAGGATCCAGTGGTATCATCTCCAGTCCCAATTTTCCTAATGAATATCATAATAATGCAGATTGCACATGGACAATTGTGGCAGAACCTGGTGATACTATCTCACTCATATTTACAGATTTTCAGATGGAAGAGAAATATGATTACTTGGAAGTAGAAGGTTCAGAACCACCTACAATATGGTAAGTCAATTATTGCAATTTTAATTCTGTAAATAAAAAAAAGAAGTTGATAAAAATGTGAAAGGATAGCTTTTGTTGCTTTTGCTTTAGACAGCACAGCAGTTTTGCAAAAAAAAAAATATTATGGTGTAAATGTGTTTTTTTAATTGCAACTGTAAAATAACTTCCAAATATATTCTAAGTGTGAAACATCAACATGAAAGGGACTGCAGACTCATTCAGTTTATTACCTATGGATATGTCTAATCATTATTGTGTAAAAAAAGGAAAAGAAAGGAAAAGAAGAGAAGGAGAGGAGAGGAGAGGAGAGGCTCCAGTGGCAAGTGTTTCTTTTAAAGGGAAGGAGAGGAAGGGAGGGGAGGAGAGGGGAGGGGAGGGGAGGGGGGGGGAAAAAGAAAAGAAGTCCCAAATATTTAGAAATAGAATGGCTGATACAGCATTGTGGAGCCCTCAGGGAGTTTTATAGCATGTATGGATGACTGGCAGGGCATCCTCTGAGATCAGAGCTGGATGAAGTGACGCTGGTCACACTTGCCTAGCCAAGTATACACATGGTCTTACAGCGCAGTGGGCCCGGTGGCATGGCCAATGTTACATGGATCAGGAAATTTCCATCCTGATCTCAGCAATATGTCACCCACAGCTGACTAGTCACAGCAATTTTTGACTTTTTTTTTCATTCCAGTTGTATTATCTTCATAGAGGATCTCTGTTTGTTTGTGTAACAATATTTTCCAAGCATGTTTCAGCAATTCTAATGTAGATGCTGTTGTAGCTGCATTATATAAAACAGGTAAAATAAATAATATAGTAAACAACCTCATTCAAGATCAGACTCAGTGACAAAAACGTGTGATACATGCTGTGTTTTTCTGGCCTAGTAATTTTGTGGTAACATAGTATCACACCATTCAAAAAATCAGTACAGAATGCTTTGAATATATCAACAATATATCAAACAAATGTATTTGTAGTATTTAAGCATATTGCTGATTTTCAAAGAAGAGGATATATACCAAATCATAAACAAGCATGATGCTTTCCAGTAAAATCTTATCTTTAAAATCTGTTCCTTAACTGTTTAACAAAGCATTATGAGGGTTCTGTGCAATCTACAGGCTAAACTGGCAAGCCCTGTTAAAGTCAATAGGGTTTTGTTCACATCCAATCAACAAAGAAGATTAAAAAATAACTCAAAAATAAATTAATGATAAATTTATAATAAAATATTGCAAATTAGATTTATTACTTTGAAAATAACAGTCTCAATTTCTACAATGATGTTTGTAATTTATATTCCTTGCTACTTTAAGGTATAATAGGAGTCTACACTGTGTATCTCAGCTACAATGTATAGTATTTCAAAATATAATTTAATTCTTCTTGCCACCTATCTAGTTAATCACCCTATTAGAATATGACTGAATTGCCGTTGATTCTTCAAAATGTTAAACTGAATTCTTTTGAATTAGCTGTCTGATGAATTATTTTCAAACAAAAATTTATTATCATTATTAGTGAGCTAACACCAATGACATATAGAAAATACGAATCACTTGAGTAGCTAAATGTTCATTTGCTTGTTCTTAGGGCAATTTATGTATTCAGTCATGAGCTCCGAACAGTGATTTAATTTTTCTGCAGACCCATATAATTTTTCTTTGACTATATCTAAATTATATAATGAGGTTAATTTATATATGGAAACACTCAAATTTACAAATTTACAAAACCAAAAAACATTACAATGCTAATTTAATAGTTGTTTATGTAGAAAAGCAGTTTGAGAGCATATTGTTTTTTTAACTTGTCATTTATACTCCATTGAGATTGATGTACTCAGTTATGCAAAAGTTTCTCCTCATATGATAGGTAAAACAGACTTGGACAACTTAATTAACGAAGATTTGTTAATTAGATTTGCCATACTTTATAGGTCCTTAGAATATAGCTTGATATTTAGTTGAATATTTCTTTGCTCATAAAGGTCTACATACAAGTATACAGCAAAGAGTAAAACCATTTTCTTGATGTTCAGTCTGGACAGGCAAATAGTGCACAAGTTTTAAAACTCCTAAAACATATTGGTTAATTTAGATAGTAGCCACTGTTGATTTTTTTTTTAGGTATTTTGTTGTTTTACTGAACTATTACAAATGTTGAGAGAAAAAAAAAATGTCCTTCTGCACATCTAAACATGTAACAACCTATCACTGATGGGAGTAACTAAAACAACGAGCTAAAATGTAGGCAAAGTACAGAGATAGCCTGGGATTGTCTGTGGAAAATAACTAGGAAGTCTTCAGGAAAGACTAGACCAAATGTTTTCCTTGGTCTTCCAACCAGTCATCAGCCTAATTTGTCATGCCAAGCTTTTCCTTCAAGAAAATCTTTTATTAAAAGATTTTAATAAATAAAGAATAGAAGTTATTAAAATACATAGGAGGTAAAATTAATAAAACATAATATTTTCTTAACATTTGAGAAAAGGTGATAGCAAGTTATAATATCTCATGTCACTTTAATGCCGGAAGCCCCAAGAGGGACCTCTAGTCAGGCTATAGCATGCTGCACAAATCCTGTCTGTGGTGAGATTGAGCTGATATTACAGTCTTCAGATTTAAGATTTTCTTAGAAGTGCCATAGAAGGAAATTGTGTTGCTGCAACTTTAAGATAAAGACAAGGATGTGGCATCATTGCTGGTAGCAGCAGCAATGTGGCATCATTGCTGGTAGCGCCAGATGGATGCCACCTCCAGGCTTTTGTATTGCTATTAGCTGGATAAGTTCATCCAGTATCAATGGATAATGTGCAGTGCAGCACAGTCCTCAAGGTCAAGTGCTGTGTGGTGTGGTATGCGTCAGTGCTCTCCCCTACCTGTTTGTGGACTGCTAACTGCTTTGAAGTACAATGGCCCTATGGTTAGGACCCATACCACCTCCTAAACTCACAGAACTAAACTCACATCTGTCTTACTGATGTTGTGTTTTGGGGAATTTCAGACTGATTTCTATCTTATTTTCATAAAATACAAAGGAAATGTAGTTTTCCATATTAAATGAGCATATTCCTTAGATCATTACTCTGTATTTGGCTGTTGCCAAATTATCATTACTTCCTGTAGAAATTTAGGTGCATCGAATGCAAAATAATACACTACAAGATTAAATTTATGTTGCTAGACGTAGATAATGAATCTATCTTTAAACATTATGAACAGTTCACTATGTGAAATTATATATTAGGCATATCATATTAATTGCCTTAAAATAACCAGCTATTAAAAATTGTGGCTAAAAATATGAATAACTGTCTTGCAACAGTAATATTGCATTTTTCAACACCCTATAAAAAAAAAAAAAAGTCCGTTTGAATTCATTTAAAATAGAGGTCTGAAAGAACTTTCTGAGTTCATGGCCTGGGGTCCAAGGATCTTTCTCTGGAAATATTGGCACAACATAACAGGTAGCACAACATAACAGGTAGCACCTATAAGGACAAGAAATAGGATCTCTTGTTCTCTCTTTCTCAGCAGGACTTTTTTTCTAAAATATACATGACAAAACGGTAAACATTTTCTATGTTTTTGCTGTCGTGAGTAATTTAATGAATTTTCTGCATCTTGATCCTGCTTTACTAGTGTGATAAAAGGATAAAATGATAAACATTCAGTGCTGTGAAGAATTCTAAACAATATAAGTGAAGACTATATCAAATAGTGGAAATTAAAAGCAAAGCAAATATGAGCAAAAGAAGATGAGCAAGTGAAAGATGAAAGTTATGTTGGAGGAGGGTTTTGAGGTGAAGCTAATTCTGTTTAGATATCTTTGTATTCTGTTTTCAGTTTACAGTTCAGTTATGATAAAAGTTAAACCTTAGGAGGCATTTAAAAATGAAGCAACCCGTTGTTGATTACCCTGTTTCAGACATATTCATTAACAAAATAACTTCTCCATATTATCTTTGTAACAAAGCTGCTACTTGCTTTAGACAATCATCCAGTGTCTGAAAAGATTAGATTTATTTTCAACCAACATAGATATTGAACATCATTGAACATTGAACATCAAATGATGTTCAACTAAGTAAAAACTCTGGCTGACATAAATGTGTCAGCACAGACAGAAGCAATGACACTGTAGCTGTATAAATAACAAGAAAATAATAATATGCTGTAAAATAAATGAAAACAGGATAAAAGTCAAAAAGCAAAAATATTCATAAACCCAGATGGCAATGAGAGTTTAACTCAGTTCCAGAAATTCTTTCCTTGAAAAATTCACTTTGAATTTGAAAGGAACAAGTATAATTGCTTTTTAATGATATCTTAGTTATTATTACTGTTTGCTCACTAGATACTGCAGAAAGTTTTAAAGTATACTCATAAGACTCAGGAAACAAAACAGGAAATTAATGAGGTTGAGTAATATGATGCTAATAAGAATGGTAAATACCCCAGATGATGCATAGACTGGAACCTGATACAGTGGATTTAAATTTAAAGAGCAGTGACAAAGCCCAAGAAGAACATCATAGTTGTAACTGAATAGTTGGAAAAAATCATTTAATTAGAATGACAAATAAATTGTGTTTTCCTGCTGAAAAGTGTTTTTCAGAGCTTTTGTTTGCTAGCATTTAAAGTAATAGCAGTTACTATTATAAAGCTTAACTATTTGTGCAGTTGGTGTGTTTTGCATCTAGAAGATGGTACAAGGAAGCAGATGAGCTGCAGGTGATAACTGTTGAGCTTGGAGCAGATTCTATGTGATAGATCTGTGGTGAAAATAGTGGGGAGAATTTGAGAGACTGAGAAAAAGAAAACAGGTCTGTAGGCAGAATTAATCTTTTGTTCGACTTTTACTACAAAAATAGCTACAAGAGCGGAAACAACAAAGTTGTTTCTCCTCCTCCTCTAAAACAGGCAGCAGATATCTTTGGGCAAGGTGGTATTTAACTAAACAAGGTTAGCAAAAGTTAAGGGATAGCAGGAATACATCAT